TTCTACAAACGTTATGTTGACAACACTTTCGTTATCTGGTTCCATCCCATGGTCGTGAATACCTAACAGCCTTCTTACAACACCTTAATTCCATAGACAAGAATATTCACTTCACCATGGAAATAGAAGAACAAAATAGCTTATCATTTCTTGCATATTGATCAGCAGACAAGAGGGAAAAATCACCACAACTGTATACAGAAAACCCACCCACACGAACACTTCCAGTCCTATCATCCAAACTCGATGAAACGTGGTATAATCCAGTGCCTAAACAAAAGAGCAGAAAACATTTGCAATGACACATCCATCAAAACAGAATGCCAAAACATCATACAGTGTTTCAAACAGAATGGTTACACCTCTTCCTTCATCAAGAACTCCCTGAAGAAGACCACAACAGAAAAGAAAAATAAAGAAACCAATATGACCATATACCTCCCATACCTGAAAAATGTCAGTGGACAAACTCAAATGAAAAGCTAAGAAATTCAACATAGACGTCCGGTGGAAATTTTACAAAACACTAAGATCCATTCTGGTAAAGAACAAACAGAAACCTACTGAAAAAAAAACAGAAAAACGTTATTTATGAAATTCTGTGTTCTTGCAAGAAAAAATACATTGGAGAAACAGGAAGAAGACTCACAACAAGAATAAAGGAACATAAAGACAGCACAAGACTCATGAAAACACAAAATTCAGCCATTGCAGAACATGCATGTCAACTGGACACATCATAAACTGGGAAAAAGCTAGAATCATCAACACAGACAAATTTTGAAAGACAAGAAAAATTAAAGAATCATTTTACATTAACACAATTAAACATTCACTAAACAGAGATTTAGGATTAGAGGTGAGTAAACTGTGGCTACCATTGGTTGAGGCTACAGGAAGTCTCTCCTCCAATCAGAAACATGTTTTAACCAACCAATGATAACATGCTCTCCACAATCCACTAGAACACTATAAAGACCAAACTACACCACACACACGCACTGACCTGAAGATGAAAGGCGGAAGACTTTCGAAACATTGTCCTTTACATTTGTAGGTTTCTACAACATGCAGTTGCTGTCCATTTTAAACTTAAATTCATTATGAATACTCTGCCTAAACAACCTATCATATATTACCTAAAGAGCTGTTATGGACCAGCTTTTATCAAGAAGATCAACAACTACAACAAGAACCTTACCAAGCTTGCACACTGCACCAATCACCTGACCTTCCTACTATGCTGCAGAGATTTGAACATCATTTTGACTTAATTCGTGTAGTTGCAGTTATTACCCCTTTCTGCACCAGAGGGGCTACTTATATCCTGTGAATTTTTTCATTTTTACAGTCTAAATAATTAACCAAAACATATTAAACTTTGAACAAATTCGCTAATGTTCATAAGAAAGTTCGATTTTTTATACATCCAATCATTTTCAACGTGATTGATTTTTATTGACATATTTCTTTTGATACTTTATTTTGCTGATTGCAGTAGTCATCTCTTCTGGCTATAATTCATTAAAAGACATTGCAGAAACTGACAGATTTATCAGAGATCTAGGACCTTACCTTTCAAAATAGTATAAGGTCAGACTAGATAACAGATATTTTTGTTACGCAAATTCTTGGTCAAGATAAATTTATATCTAATAAATATAGTTTCTGTTCAATAAATTATAAGTTATTTTATTTATTTACATTGTTTGAATATGATGAACTTATCAATAATTATAAAGTAGCTAAGGATTTATCCGAATATTTTGTTGTCAGCTATTGCACTCTCTAAACCTAACTATTCTTACCTGATTTTTTGTCCAAAAGAGAGACATTCTGTAGCTTTCAAAGAAATTTGATTTAAAACAAATAGATTTATAACAAAAACAGCACTTAAAAAGAATGAAAAAATTCCTAGATCTATGGCTTTCTCCTAAGTCTTCCAAACTTCCCATTGGATTCTTTTGTGATTCTTTGTCTGAGCTACATCTGATTACTTTACCACAAAATCACACTACTTTATTAACACTACATTGATGGTAATATAATTTGCCCTACCCAACACTTTCTGTAGCTATTTTCAAAAGTAAGCTTAATTAGTAGTTTTTGAGACCCCATGCTTTGAGATCATAAAAGACTTGAGAAGCAAAGGGTGTACTAATAAAATCAGCGAAAGGGAACAAAAATCATGTGAAAATGAACACATGAATAATTAGGTTCTCAGGAGATAATATATTAGCAAATATAAACACATAGTTTGAGAAGAACAGAAAAGTTACAAAAAAATCAGTGTGAATTGTTTGCAGTTGGAACTTTTCGAAGCTGTACAGAAATGCAAGTTTTGATATCTGTTTCATTTTTCCTCATGAATTATATTAACCAAATATTTCTGAGTTAAACTTGTTAGAAAGTTGGTCTGATTATTTTTATTTAAATTTTGAAATTTGATATGTAAGTGTGCACTCAGCACCTGAAAGGTTGGTTCAGATATGGTTGAATATATGGGTGACATAATTTTTATGATTTACTGTTTATGTATGTTAATGGTAAAACTAGTAATGGCTTAAGATATAAATAGTTATTTAAACACTTACTAATACACTTTGTTGATTTGTTAATACAAAATAGGGCTACACGTACTATTAAAATTTCTGGATAAAACAAAAGCTGTGTACATAATTAAACATTTTAAACATCTATATATGCGTGTGTATTCAAGTATTTTTATATTTCATAATGGGTTTTTTTGTATGGACTTTTCATAAAAATATTGATTTTAGTTTGTTTTTGGGTTTCCAGTTTATGATTGGATGAGCAGGTGTTTGTATTATAATTTGCAAGCATGATCTAAATTTCTGTTGAAATTGCATAGGTGGTAACATCTGTCCACTACTTGCTGTCTGATGTATATATATCCAGTGATCTTGATCCAAGCACAATTGTTGAACAATATTCTTCAGAAGGAAGTGAGAATTCTCATGTTCAAGAGGAAGACTCAGATGAAGATCGACCAACCAGTCCATCTGTAGAGGTTAAAACTCTCTGCTATCCCCACCATTATCGACAATTTGAATTCCAAAATAATAAAAATGTGCCACATATTGTGAAAAACTGGGACGAGCGATGTCATCTTTCTCTGACTCATGTTATTGAAGGACTTAATTGTGTTTATAAAGCATTTCAGAATTCAGCCTCTACTAGAAATGAAATGGATGATGTCACTCCCAGAGATAAAGGTATGCCTGGAATATCTGAAGAAAAGATAACAATGGCTAATCCATACAGCCCAATTCCTCTCCACTATTCTCCATTGAAGGGAACTTTAGAGCTTGTTACTCAAGAAAAGAACAAAAACAAATCTTCTGATTTAGATGGGTCACAGCATTCTCAATCTGATGTAGACAATCTGAGATCTACAAAAAATAATGAAATAACACCTCTGTCTTCCAACAGCTTACTTGACTGGAAGGCATGTAATAAAGTCATGTTATATCAGAAGGCTGCTCAAGTTTACTGTGCCTTAGCTGAAGCTTCAAATAGAGCACAGAAGTTTGGCCAAGCCTTGAAAGAAGTTAAGCTTGGAATTCTTTGTTGTGGTGAGTTTTATATTATAGTGTGTTATTTTTTGAAATATAATCCTACAACAGACTAAGATCTTAGGAACATGTGTTGTCATCAGATTGTTGTTTTATGCCATTGCAAATTACAGGGTGATTGGTACAAATTACTGTTGTTAGGCTTAAGTGTTTGTATTCTCTCAACTTTTTAATTTTTTTTTATTATAACGTATAGCAATGAGTTTTCAAACAGGACTATAATACTTAACTAATCCATAAGAAAAAAATAATGGGCCTATAACATAAACATATAATTTTATATATAAATACTTGTATTGTGACCCAATTATAGGAATTATCATATACAACTAACTGTACTAATAATACCCCAGTACACGAGTTTTCTGCACAAAACTTGTATGGAACATATTGTAATTCTTATCTGATTAATAGAAAAGACAGTTTTTTGTTCATTGAAAAACTCATTATTATCTATGTATGCTCAGGAAATTAACATCTTACCAATCAAAGTATTACACCTAGAACAGTTACTGTTGTTTCAGTCTATTAAATTAGTTGATGGAGAGTGGCAAAAGCCTTAATAATCCTAAAATTAAATAATTATGAATGAAGCTGAAAGTAATTACACTGAAAGGGAAAAATAATTGATATGGCTAGCATTTCAACGAAACAACTTTCATCAGGTCTGTGGTACATTTGTAGATATGTAGCCAAGGTGCTGTGTTTAATATAAAGTTGATTCGTATGTCTAACAACATCAAGCTATTCATCACGATGTACAGAAACATGATATGTTATATTAAAATATATCTTAATGCCAATGATTTCTTTTAAAATGGTTGAAATTTTTTCAGATATAGCATGTAGCGATGCTTGGAAGCTGACATTTTACCAGTGTTATTTTTCTTAATTCTTTGTTTACTTACAATACCAACATCTGTATTCATAGAACGAGCACAGCAGCTGGTGGAGAGTTATGGTAAAGATTGTCCCCAAGAGCCCCTAGCTTATCACCTTGGTTTGGCTGGTGACATACATTTGATGCTACCTCAGGGCTCAGCTTTGGAAGCTCATCAAGAAGACTTTCTCAATTTAGGAACCTTGGATAAGCTGGTTTTAAATTTTCTGGAGAAAGATAAAATTGGTCAGCTAGGAGGTTAGTGTATGTTGGATTTGTATTGGTGTTCAATAAGTTTTTTGGACAACAATTACATGGATTATATTCAGTTGTGTCACTTAATGTCCATAGTTTACTGATGTTTAGGTAACTAAAATCTCCTTTTAAAGGAGGGAATTTACCATTAGTTTACCAATAAAACTTAAAAACGTATAATTCATTATTCAAGTAAATCCAGTTATTTTGGTAGTTTTCCTACACAAATTATCAATCTATAAATCGCTCTTCATCTGCATTTTATGTACCATAATAATTTGTTGATTTTTTTTGTTTGGCATATGATTTGTTACAACTTATTCTCGATGTTTCTGGCCAGTGATCTTGATTTCATATATATCTTAAATATAATCATTCTGGCATTCGGTTCTAAATATTATATTCAATTAGTGTTTATTTTTACTAATTTGTTCAAGAATGAACTGAAAAGCTTCGTCAAAATATTGATATATATGTATGATGTAGCATTATTGTGTTCATTTTTTTCATGAGTTTTTCCAAAAGATATAAGATTTGTTTTTCTTACAGAGTATGCTTGGGCCTATGGGTGGTCCCTTGATAAAGAGAGCAATCTTAACCTGAGTGTACAGTGTTACCAAATCTCCCTAAATATGTGGTCTGGTGGACGTAGAGCTGGATATGAAAGGCTAACAAAACGACTTGGAAACATATGCAATGAGTTAGGTGTATTTCATATGAATCAAGCAATTCAACAGTGGGAAGAAACTGGTAACTTGATTTACTCTGTTCCTTATTCTTGTCTACAGTTTGTTATGTAAAAATATATTCTGTTCATTATTCTCGTATACAGTTTGATATATAACAATATATAATGTTCACTATTCTCGTATACAGTTTGATATATAACAAAATATTTGTTCATTATTCTCATATACAGTTTGATATATAACAAAATATAATGTTCACTATTCTCGTATACAGTTTGATATATAACAAAATATAATGTTCACTATTCTCGTATACAGTTTGATATATAACAAAATATCTGTTCATTATTCTCATATATATAACAGTATATTGTTATTGTTTTTTCTGAATATCAACAATACAAAAGTTGTTTGTTTTTCAGTTATTTTATTAAAATCTTTGTAGGTGACAAAATATATTTTAACTTGTACAAGATTTATAATTTATACTTAAAATTATCATTAGCTGTTGTTGAAAAGCTAAATAAACTTATTTTCTACTTAATTAAAAAGAGATTATATTTAAAGATGATAATTTTATTGGTATTAAAACTGATATAATGAATTAAAATATGAAACTATGGTGTTTTGCAGGTGATACTTCTGAAAATGTTACAGAACTTTTCAATAAAAGTTTCAAGTTTTTGCAGCAAGGCATAACAGCTTTTGAATCTGTTAGTGATATTCAAAACATTGCTTTACTGAACTCAAACACTGGCCGTTTGATGAGACTTAATGCCCACGTACAGGCTCCTTATGACAGTGGTGGTGGACGTAAAGAGGTTTCTCAACAAGAGCAGTATTACCATAAAATGGTAGGTGGTTTTAGTGTTAGAAAATAATTGCTGCAAAGTGAAGAATGTTTGAGTAGTAGTATTAAAATTAATCCTTGAAGTCTAATTAATAATTATATGTGGACAGTCTAGTTATGTAAATCTTTTTTCATTTAAACAGTAAATTTTGTAACCTTATCATTTTACAAAGTAGAAAAAAGAGAAAACAATCACATGTACACCATGTTAAGCACTATACTACTATTAAGCTTATATTTCACTGAAAGTTATTTTTAGCAGGTTAATTGCTTTGTATTAAATTATTTAAATTAAGTTATATGCCCAAAGTCATACTTAACTGTTTTAAGTTAGAATGCTTAAGAATTTTTGAAACTTTATATTTGAAATTATAAGAACTTAAGAGTGAGGTAAAGAAGAATGTATAACAATAAGTTAGATTATTTGGATTGTTGAGAAAAATTATCTATATATCTTTTAAAAAATGTACATCATCTATAAATGATTTTTTATTAAATATATTGATAAGTAAAGAGTTCAGATCTATAATGATTTAAAACCAGTTGAATAATCATCAAATTCTGTTTTTTTGTGGGTTTTTTTCAGGCAATAAAATACTACAAGAAATCTTTAGATGTTTTAAGATCTCGGGACCAGTATCAACAGGTTTGGGATACAGTCTGCTGGGAACTATCAACTGCTTACTTTTCTTTTGCATGTCTTCTTCAAGATTATGCACCTTTATCTCTCCAAGCTCAAGAAAAAGTGGGTAGTATTGGTTTTTATATAGTAGTATTTTAAGCATGCTTTGTAAAAATTGTCAGAATGACTGGAGTCCTATTATAGATCTTTTCTGACTCAACCAATTTCTTGATCTTCCTCATTTCGCCAATGAGTCCTTTCTCAACCATTGTTAGGCCTATATTCCGGGTCTTTGGGTGACGAAAGTGAACATCCTGGATGCATACCCTCACATCCCTATTTCCCCAACATCAAGACATTACTTTCAATTCCATGTTTTGCCATTTGGTGTGGTGTCCATACCCTATGCATTTTGTCGGGTGGTCAGGGCCTTTGCTCAACTTAATCATTCACACAGTCTGCGGTCCCACCATTACATGGATGACTGGCTGTTATTAGCTCCATCCTGTCAGATATAATGCGAACACACCCAGTCGCTTTTTCGAGAGGCGGCTTGGGTGAGTTGGCTTGTCAAGTGAGAGAAAACCTTTCTTCTTCCAACTAAATACCTTATCCATTTTTGAGGATTTTTTTCAACTCTTGTTTCAGTCAGGCCCAGCCTTCTTCACTTCATTTGCAGGTGATGAAACTATCAGTTCTCAAGGATCAATTCTCTCCTCTTACTGCACTTGAGGTTCTTTCCCTTTTGGGAACTTGGGCTTCCATGGAAGTCCTAATTCCCTGAGGTCATGCTTACATGGGCACCCATCAGTAGGTGTTGCACAATCAGTGGAATCTTGCTTGAGACTCCCTGGACTCTGTTCTCCTTCTTAAATACACAGGAAGTTGCAGGTCATTGGTCTTTGGTCGAGGCAGCTATGCACATCAGTATGCTGGAACTTCTTGCTGTTCATTATGCTAGGGATCATTTCCTGTCTTTAATATGAGAAAAGTGGTCATGATACATTTCAACAATTCAACCTTAGATTTGTATATCAATCGACAAGGGGGCAACTGTTCACATTTACTTTGTTTCCAGATGTTGGAGCTTCTCTTCTGGACCCATTCACATTACACATGCCTACTAGCATGTCATGTTCCAGGTGATCTGAATCTAGCTAGATTATCTGTTCCTGACATAGTTCTCCCCACGGAGTGGTCCCTCAATCCTCAGGTGTTTTGGTGGTTGTATGATCAGTGGGGTACTCTTCTTCACCCATTTCAATGCTAAGTTACCTCTTTTTTTGGTCCCTGATTCCACATCCTTTGTCTTTGGCAGTGAAAAGCTTTAGTCAGGGTTGATCCCACCTTTACCTGTATGTCTATTTATTACCTTCCCTGAGGTTTATCCATTCCATGTAAGGTCCTTCTTTTTGCACCTTTTTGGCCTCCTCAGCCTTGATTTCTGGTTCCTATCCTCCTTCAGTCAGAACGTCCATTACCACTTCCACCATTCCCCTCCCTCCTTTGACAACCTCACTTGCCAGTGTATCATCCCAACATCCCCATACTCTAGCTTCACACATGGCAGTTGTCTGGTCCCTTGCATGGTGGTCTGACCTCTCCAAATGGGTAGCTTCCATTCTTTCTCACTTCTTCCCTATTGTTGTATCAGGAAAAATGGAGTGTTTTCTACTGGTGATCTCTGCACTATGGTTACCTCCCTTCCCATTCTACTCTTCTTCATTTGTCTGAATTTTTTACCTGGTTGTTTGACAATGGTTTTACCATTTATACCATTGCAGGCTATAGAGCAGCCATGTCCAATACCTTTTATTTCTTCCATTCCCAACGAGTGTTTTCCTCTATGGTCCTCTCCCTTTTGTTTCATTCCCTTCATCTCCTTTGTCATCTTCATTCTGTGGTCCTTTCTACCTCAGTATGGTTCTCATTATTTAAGTATCTGGATTGCAGTTTTTTTCCCAAGACATCAGCAGCTCATGAAGGTGACATCACATTCACCTCTGTTTCCCTTCCTTTCATTTCCCATTTCAATCAAGATTGTCTCTTCTGACCTGTTTGTGCTTTATGGTGTAATACTGCCTGCACAACTTATTTCTATGGTTCCTGTTTGTTTATCCATTTGAACCCTTCCTCTCTCCATGATATTTCCCCTACCACCCTTATGGGATGAATTTGCCAATTTATCAGATTGGTTTATTCTTCCTTGTCTTTTGATTCCTAACATCTTTTCCAAGTGTCCTCTCATCATATCTTGTACCTCTTCCTTTTTCTGGCAGCCCATTTCCATTATCCATTGGAGGAAATAACTTGGGCTGGCATGTGGACCACATCTAATACATTCATCTCCCATTGCCTTCATCATGTGTCCATATCCTCCTCATCTGGATACTGAATACTGCCTGTTGCCATTCTCCACACCTTGGTTCAGTTGTGAGTGGGTAAGCTTATATTTCTTTATTTCTCTTTCAGGGTTATTAATGTACATGTTGGATCCCACTCTGTGGTGAGTGATGCCTGTCCTAGTATACTAATCCATAAATCTGCACTGTACAGCCGTTCCTGTCTATAATGGCTGCTGTTGAGAAGACAAGACCACTAGTAGGTTCATCCTCGCAGTGTTTTGCATCATAACTATGTCTGTCCCAGACCATAACAACTCGTGGACTATCATGAGTAAAACAGTTTCAGGATAACTGCCGATTCCTTTGATCCTGGTTGAATAAATCAGGACTGGCCTGCTTTTAAAAATAGGGTTTTGTGGTCACCCATTGCAGTGTTGCATTCCTCCTGACTCCCCACCACATTGTAACCCCCCATCCCACCCCAACACATGCACATACACACTCTACAAGTGGAGTTTGGGAGTCTTAGCTGCTGGTGTGGTGGACCATGGAGACATCCTCCCGAGTGTGCTCAATTCCCTTCAGTAAGGTGGTTGTGTTTTATCATTGTGGATGATGTGAACCCTTCTCCTACCATCAACTGTACCCGACACCATCTGGTTATGAACTGGAGATGATCCATCAAACTGAAGTTCACCCCTCTGGCTGGGACCCTTTGTTCTACCATTGCCTGGATGTTGTTTCCCAGGTAGTCTTATGTTGGATAAGAGCTGGACCAGCAAACATAAGTCCTCGTATATGTGGCTGGTAGGGAGCCCTTGTCCTACTGTGGAATGGATGATAAATTTCCAATGCTGCCTGGCTTTTGATTTGGGTGAACCACCACATTGTAATTCCTCCTTCCAACCATCACTGAGATGTCAGTTCCTGGGTGTCCTGGTTATGGTTGTGTACTGGGTTTGCACATGTGCCCTACTTGGATGGTTGGAATGAAGTTGTTTTTCCCTTCTGCTTCCTAAGTTTGAGGTGAAAATGGTTGGGACCCTCCTACTGCAGATCTTAAGACAAATACCTGATGCCACCTGGTTTGGGACTGATGTTGACCCACTGATAGTGGTCTGATGCACTATAGCCTCTCTACACCATGTGGCATGTCCCATTGCTTATGGATGTGCTCCTTTTCTGCTCAACTTAGTGACACTTATTTTCTAGATGGGTGAAGATTGTATCTGTTCAAGATGTGATGTAATCTCCCATGGGTATGTTCATTTACAGAGAGATTTCACACTTCATGGGCACTTCATTCTTTCTGAAGGGCTCATCTAGGTAAGATTTGCATTGGTCCCTCCACCAAGTCAGTGTGGAAATCTAGCTATAATGTGAATGGAGGTATCAGGTATCATATCAGAAGCTATAATTTTCCTAAACTGCAAATGTATTTCCAACAGATACCACCTCTCACACTTCCCACCCTTCCTCCCAATTTTTGGTGTTTCTTTCTGCCTAATCTTGAAGTGAAGATTGACTTCTACAGTATAGAGGGAGCCAGTTGTGCCAGAAGGATGTGTTGCACTTCTATTGGTGGAGGGTTGTCGCATGCTTATTTGCATGCTACATTGCATCTGTACCATGTTAAACATGTGGGATAGGTGGGAGTATCAAGGCTAGTGGTGAGCGAAAAATTTTGTGCATATAGTGGGCAGCATTGTGTTTTTAGATCACTAGCCTATTACTTTTTAAAGCTGATATTAGAAATTGCATCACACTATGACAGTCAAAGTTGAAAAACAGTGATTGGCTAAAAACATCAATAAAACTACACTTGTTGTAAAGTACAAAGTTCAAATTAGTGGTGTTATGCTCAAAACAAGTGGTGGTTACAAGTGTGACATTATTGTCAGAAAGTTAAAAATACTTGTGTTTCACTTGGAACATGCAATGTTTTTTAATTTTCATGTTTAAAGTTTAATAAGTAAAATCTTTTATGAAGTAAATTTGTGGAAGAATGACTACAAGTTTGTTTTCTATAATTTGTTGAATTCAATGGTGCAATTATGTCCTCGGGTAGGCTGCAATCATTCAGGCATTAGAATTTCAAATGTCAACAAAATCCACAGGGTGTTTATTAATATAATGTATTTGTTATTAAAGTCTTGAGGCTGACAGTAACTCATTTAGAATTGCTGAGAAAAACATCAGTAGATGAAAAGAATGAGAAACAATCAACCTCAAAACTTAAGAAAGATGTATTTATGGTGAGCTTAGTTGTTTTCTTTCAAACAAATTTCCATAATTTTTTAAAATCATGATTATAATTTCTATAGCAGTTGCTAATCTTGGCTGCAGATATTTTATTCCCTTATTGAAAAATTGATCAAACACGTACTGTAGATCAAAAAAGTTGCATCCATAGGGATTTATTTTATGTAGGGATTCTGATTTTTAGTTTTGACCGATAAAACACCCCCAATGTATTTACATATATGTATATGTAAAAAAAACTGTCATTTTTTCCCAATAAACACTGAAAATGGTTATTCAGTTTACATTAATGTCCCCACTTTTCCAGAGTCACTGTGCTTGAGACTTTCAATACAGACTACATTGCCTTGGAATATTACTCTGAAGGAAGGGGAACATGTTTCATCCATTAGTGGTTTATTTTTATAATTTCATGTAAAATATTAGCCGTTCTTACAAAGCTTTAACATAAATATAACTATGTTCTGCACCTGTTATTACTTCAGTAGTGCAGAGAATATACAGTATGTTAGTATATTCATTACTGTATTAAAAGCGAAAATGCAGATTTAAAGGTTTCTACATAAAACTAAAAATTAAAATCCCCAAAAACTCTGACTTTAAGAGATCTAAATAAAACTATAAAAGAGCTTATAATAAACACTGATTTAAAAAATAAATAAAATAAATGTCAAAAAACAGAAGCCCTAATTATTTGAAACTATAATCTTTCTTTTAAAGACAATAAATCATCAACTTATCATTGTACTTAGTGAAAGAATTCACTTGATTCGGAATGATTTCTGTATTAACTATTGTCAATGTCCACTTGACATGGTGAACTTAAGTCATTGTATAGTTTGCTAAGACATTAGTTTAAGCATCTAGTTTGAAATCCCGGTAAATGTTTTGTTCTTTTTCAGTTCATCTATTAATAAAATTACTTACCAGAATTTTTAGAGGGCAGTTAATGTAAGTTTTTATATTGTTGTATAAATATATACTCAGAAGATGTATCTATTTGTATTAAAGTCTATAGATCTTATCCTTTAATAAGGAATAACCAGCTTTTTAAGTGTAACAAGAAAAATATCTGATTATATTAAACTGGTGTACAGCTGTAGAAACCAACATCTGCACACTAGTTAGGCTTAAGAGCTTTGTGAAAGTCTTTTATGAATTTTTCTTCTATTTATTTTACAATCAAGTGTTTTAAATCAAATATTAAACTAACAATACAAAAAATTAGGAATTTAATATTTTGTGTTTGACTTCTGAAAAGATAAATATTCTAATGGACTTGTACTTTGTAACAAAATCATTTGTAAACAAATCATGTGATGCATTATTACAAGTCTTATCACAAAACTCTGGTTCAGTACTTCCCCTAGAATTTAATTGCATAATTCAGGAGGCTTTCATAAAGATTGAAACTTGGTAGATTTACCATTTAAAACTTATTAGCCAATCAGTAAGTGTTGTCAAAAAACAAATGTAATTTTTTTTCCATAGGTGGAAGAAGAAGTTGTAAGTCTTATGATGATGTGCTTAAAGTTGTGCGAAACTAGCAACACCCCACCAGCCCAGCAGCCTCTATACCAGTATAGGGTTGCATCTATAAACCACAGATTAGCGTCTCTCTATCACAATTCGTATAGAAATCATGTAAGTTAATTTCTCTCTTTCATAAATAACCAAATCATGTTCTGTGTTACACCATTTGTAGAAATCATTTAATATAGTTTCCTCATATAACAGTGCTTAAAAAGTTTTGTGTAAAATGTTTGTGGTTTTAGAAATTCTGTTAATTTTGATATTGTATCAAGCTTGTAAAAAAACCATGTAGGAATAAGATTTCTGTGTCATAATTATTTTCTTTTGGAATTATATAGGATTGTTTCACTATATAACATTTTTTGTTGAAGTCCTGTATGTTAGTTTTGTTATATATAATTTGATCTTAAAATCATGTAGGTAAGTTTCACTATGTCACATTTCCCGTTGGAATCATTTAGATTAGCTTTTTTCACATTTCCTGTTGGAATTATTTAGGTTAGCTTTGTTTCACATTTTCTGTTGGAATAAGGTAGCTTATAATTTCTGTAATATAACATGTGGACAACAAAAGACCATTTGGTCCTTCTAGACTCTCCTTAGCCTCCTTAAACACCCAATCTTAAAAACTTAAAAGTTTGAACCTGCCATTTATTTTTTAGGAAATTATCAATTCCCCCTCTTAAATTCTCACAAATTATGAGCCTTCACTACTGCTGACAGAAGCTCATTCATTAACTAATTACCTCGTTAGAGAAATGAAATTCTCTTAATTGGAGCCTAGCTTGGCTCAAGAGAAAATAAGCTTATCCTCAAAAGATAACCTTTCCATCCCCAAAATCACCCTGATATTGGGTGTAAGGCCTTGTCAGCAGTTGACATATTTTACTTTCACTCTTAAGTTCTTAGAATCTTATTAGCCCTCCTCTGAATTGTTTCCAATAAATCAATATCCTTTCTTAGATATGGAGATCAAAACTGCTCACAATATTCCAAGTGAGACCTAACTAGTGATTTTACAATTTCATAAAAGAGCTAAAATGTGATTGAAAAAATATCAAAAAACAACCCTTTGCCACTGTTAATGTGGCATCATCATGTACATCAGTATGCCAATGAATACCCCCTAAAATGCTCTTAGCTTAATCATTTAGCAACAGAATACTGCATTCATGGCTTGCGTGATTTATCTGCCACTGTTCCAAAACCTTTTTTTATAGTCATACTTTGGAATTTGTTCTTATCTAATTGAAATGTGATCCTCATTATAATAACCCAAATGCATTACCTTCACTTGCTGTTATAAAATGTCTTTGAAAAATATTTGTCAAACTTACCAATTGATTCCAAGTCATTCTATAGTTCCTAAACACCCTTACTACAGCTAAAAATACTAAGAATTTAATATCATCAATCTTCTTTTCTAATCTATTAATTATGTCCATATTAATAACATTAAAGTAAATAAGGAAAAACAAAGGCCCAAACTCTGACATCTGTGCCTGTGGTACTCCTCTAGTAACAATGGTCCAGTATGGGTGGACTACATTAACTTTTTCAGCATGAGCTTGGGACCGACCTTATAACCATTTTGTGCTTGTTATAGTTTTCATGCTATAACATTTAAATTAGTAAGCGAATGTTAATGAAATTTGGCAGATTATCAGTAACCGTTACAATGCTTTCATAGGCAAAATATTTTTTTTCATTATCAAGTCTTAAGGTTTATACAGCAATGTTTTCTCAAATCTATTTTGTCTTTTCAC